CAAGGCAACTTGAATGATCAATATCAGTCCACCAAGGCACACGTGAGTTTTTCAGAAATCATCAGATGCAAAAGCTATTCTTCCAAATGTACATTGGTTCCAATCCAGTATCCTGGTGGCATCTCTTAGACTTGTAGCCCTAAGGACTGGAAGAGATCTTAAAGCCCATCTCCTCTAGCCTCCTTCCTCCATTTAATACTTGGATTCCCTATCCCGACAAATGGTCATGCATTATAGTGGAAGAACTGGGGTTCCAGAATCAAAGAGACCAGGAGCCATATCCTAGCTCCTCCACCCATCGCATCTTTGACCTAGAACAAATGATCTAATCTCTCTATGCTTTGATTTCCTCAACTGTAAATTATAAGCAGTACCAACATTGCAGTTGTTGTGAGAATTAGAAATAACATTGTTAAAGTGCTTAGCATAGCCCCTGGTATTTAGAAGGACTTCAGTCAGTGACAGCTGCTATGCCAGTTACAGTGGTGTAATGGTGTCCCTCCCCAGCCTTCTCTTGAATACCTCTGTGATGGGGATGCTTCTGTTGTTGGGTAGTCTTAATGGTTAGAATTTTCTACTATCTGTTGTGCCCAGTTCTCTTTCCTATAACTTCTTCTATTCATCCTCTCTGGTTCTGCCACTTCTGGCCCTGCAGAACAAGTCTAAACCTTCTCCCAGTAATAACACTACAAATATTTGAAGATAACTTCAGTATTTCTCCTGAGCCTTCTCCATGGGAAACCTATTTGTTCCTTGAATCTTTCCATATGTGACTTGGTTTTGATCTCGCCCAGGACACTTCTAAGCCCCTTTCTGTAGTATATGAGCTTCTACGGAAAGATGCTAGCCAGCCACAGGGAAGATGCAAGTCTTAGGTTCCGTCCACACTCAGTAAGTCTGACTGTGTCCATAGCTCCTATGAACATTCCAGTGCATACCCTGCAAATGTATTTCAGTTTCTCCTCCTTTTTACCATAGTGTACAGGAACACGAACACTATGCAAGGAAAAGTGTGTTATAAAAACTATATTGTCAGTGCTTAATTGAAAAGTTGCACTTCCCTAATTGTGGTAGATTTGATTGCATTATTGCTCCCCAACTGGCAGTTTTTACCTTCTGTGTGTCAGTGAACTTTTCCAGTTGACTCTGAGGGTCCTGCTCTTTGACTTGAGATTCAGCAGTGACTGTCTTTGGCCAACAGAATAAAGCAGAAGTGACAGCCTGCAAGCTCCAAGCCTAGGCCTAAAGGGCCTTGGATACTCACAGTTGCGCTGCAGGGCCCTGCCATCACCACGAGAAGGGCATTCCCCCAGCTGGCCCACTGGTCCAGGAAAGCGAGGTGGGGTGGCATGTAGACTAGAATCCCCAGCAAAGCCCAGCCAGTGTCAGCCAACCCCCAGCCAACTCACAGACACTTGAGGGAAAAAAATTTACTGTTTTCAGTCATTGAATTTGGGGGTGGTTTGTTATGCAGAATTTTGGTGGCAAGAGATAAATATTACAGAAATTATGTAGGTCAGAAAACATAGAGATAGCAGGACTAACCCTACTTCACCAGCGTATAAGCTTGGAATAATGAAAGATTTACAGAACTACAACAGGCTGGATGAATACTTCATAAAAATGATTTATCAAATTGTAATTTTATTTCTTTTATAAACTGTGTCGGAGGAGAAAATAAGGATGTATATGATACATCATTAATGAAATAACTAATGAAAAAAGCAAACTCAATATCCAAAGATGCGTGAAAAGTTAAGGGGTCCCCTGTTTGGTATAGTTCACTCAATTACTCATCCGGTGTTTAATGAGTAAGTGTCATGTATCAACACTGTTCTAGACCCTGGAGATATAGTTGTGGGAAAAACAGACAAGGTCAGGCTTCATGAAGCTTATATCTCTAGTGGAGACTCAGAAAATAAAAACTAAACAAACAAAAAAAGATAACTTTATATCATTGATAAGTGCTGTGAAGAAACTCAGGCAGGGTCATGGCCACCTTAGGTAGTTTAAGGAAGATCTTTCTGAGGATGTGACATTGAAACTAGACTAAATGACATGAATGGGCCAAGGGAAGAAAGACCACATTGAAGGAAGTAACAACTGCAAAGGCCAGGAGGTAGGAATGAGCTTGGAGGGTTTGAGGTATAAATAGAGGTGTTGAGAGGAGCCACATGGTATGAGATGATGTGGGAGATATTAAAAGGGGTCAGAACATGTAGAGCTCTGTTGGCCATGGTGAGGAACTGGTGTTTTATTTCAAGGGTAATGGAATACATTACAGTTTATTAAACACATGACCAATTTATGGGTTTTCGGAGCTCACTCTTGGCTGCTGTATAGAGAATGGATTACGGGTAGGTGGGCAAGAGTGAAAGCAAGAAGGTCAGTTAGGTCATCATGGTCATGGCTACCACCAGTATGATGGCAGGGATGGGGGAAATGGAAAGGTTTGAGATATGTTTTGAAAGTAGAATCAAGATTTGCTCATGGATTGGGTGTGAGAAAGAGTGAGAAATGGAGGATGACTCCTAGGTTTTATGTTTGGATAACTGAGAGGGTTATTCATGGAACCTTTTCCTGAGATGAGGAAGAATGGAGGAGAAATGAATTGGCAGGAGGGAGAAGTCAAGAGTTTCGTTTGGATGAGTTAAGTTTGAAATTAGACATCTTTGTGGATTTACCAAAAAGGATGTTGGACATATGAATTCATTACTCAGGGCTAAAGATATATGTTGGGCAGTCGTGCGCATGTTGATGGTATTTTAGCCAAAGGACTAGATGAGTTCACCTACCTAGAAAAAAGTAGTTAATTTTTTTTAATTTAAAAACTAAGAAGTTTTAAATTTTAAAAATTGTTAGAAAAAAGAAGTGGGAGGCTAAGCCACAGAGCACAGTGACATTTAAAAGCTCAGCAAAGGAAGAGGAGACAGAAGAAGAGCCTGAGAAGGAAGCTGAGAGAGTGTGATGTCGTGGAACATGCCAAGAGAAGAGCGTGTTCCAAGAGAGGGAGTTGTCAACTTGGGCTGGGTTGGGTTGGGTTGGGCTGGATGCAACTTGAGTCTCTAAGATGAGGACAGAGGAATAAAACACTTGAATTTTTCAATGCAGACCTGGTTGGTGACCTTGAAAATAAAACATTTAGGGAATAATAGAGGTAGAAGTCAAATGGAATGATTAGAAATGAATGGGAGGCGAGGAATTGATGACAGTGAGGTTTTGCTAAAAAGGGGAACAGAATGGAGAGGTTGCTAAAGAGGATGAGAGTTGAAGGTTTTGTTTTATTTCATTTGGTTTTGGTAGGAGATTCTGGGACATGTTTAAATTCAAATGGCAGTAAACCAAAAGAGAGAGAGAGAGAAGTTGATATTGGTGGAGAGAAAGTAGACAAAGACAGTGCCAATGTCCTTAAGAAAAAAAGGAGACCCAGAGCTAGTGAAAGTGTTGGCCTCTGAAGTGCCTTCTCTGGTAACAGAGGAAGGTAGGCAGTAAGGGTAATAGAATGCGGGGAGATTGGTGGGTTTGGTGATGGGAAGTTAAGTGATCCTGTCAGTTCGCTTATATTTTCTCAGTGAACTATGACTTTAGGTATCATTTGAGAATGAGCCAGGACTTCTGAATCCCAAGCCTGAATGCACTATGTCCTTCATTTACCATTTGGTACCCTTGGAAAGAATGAAAATGACAACCCCTTTTGTATAATGTATTTTGAAGAGCTGTCAAATGAAAAACAACTCATGTATATTCTTTCATTTGATATTTTCTCCTGAATCATGCACGTTCCCAGCAGGGAACAGAAGTCACATGGTTTGTTGAAATAAAGACATTTTAATGACAGGGAACTACTTACAGGGAGTGGGATTGAGAAATACTGCGCCCAGAGACTATCAACAGCCAGAAGTCATAACTACCCTTAGGACCAAAGAGTCAAGGCAGTTTAATAGTACTAGATCACCAGTGAGAGCTGGTGCCCTGAAAGAGGGGCCAATCGGCATGATCATTCATCCAAGAGACCTGTAGCTACCATCAGGGAAGTGGTGCTAAAGCAGAGAGGGAAGGAGAAAGAACTATCCTGACTTCTCTCTTCTCCCATCTCTTGCTGATGCTTCCCGATGGCTGAACCGGGAAGCTGGCTGGTAAGGGAGCCTGGCGATGCCGTCCACGGTGAAGGACAGAGAATAGATCTGGCAGCAAATAAGCAGCACAGCCTCTAGCACTTTTTGTCATAAATGTTGAAAAGATTTTGAGAACCACTCCAGGGGGAATCTTTATACCCAGTGCCAGTGTATGGAATGCATCTTGTTGTTTGGTACCAGCGAGATTTGGAAAACCCAACTAAGGCACTAACCATGCTCTTTGATACAGATCATCATGGATGCTTGTAACTCACCCATACTCTCCAAAAGGCATGTTTACCCACAGCCTTCCTCCTTTATTTCCATCCAGAGGCACATTGCCCGTTAAACTAGGGAAGCTTACATTTCAGGGCTCTTCACTTGCACGAGCCCCTTCCAAGGCCATGGCACAGCCCTAGAAGTGTATTCGTATGGTCGTATGGTTTTGTGAAATTTGCAAAACTAAGGTGTTTTAACTGTCCTCTATTAAGACTATAACTTTTTTCACTCTGACCCTAGAAGGGACTTCCTCCTCCCCCCATTTCATGCCCTTTAGGCACCACAGACTGGATCTGCTTCTGCTTTTGACAGAGACTCACATGTACCCATGCAAATTTTATCCTTTTCCCAAGATGCTACCACCTTTCTAGGGGAATGGTTAATGAGCATCAAAATGGACATCTGGGGAAGGGGAGAATGCAGCAGGATGAGAAAAGCAAAGGATGAAAGGATGTGTGGCGCTAAAGCCTGTGGAGGGAGGGCGCTGTGCCTGCAGAACCCACAGCCCGCCTTCCACCCTTGCTCGAGTGATGGGGGTTGGCAGGTGTCCCACTGGGTAGCGAATTCCTCTTGGGGCCTTGCTCAGATGCTGCTCTTTGTTTTCAGATGCGGATGGAAACCTGTGTCGAAGCAACCAGTTGTTGCAAGTCATGCTGACCATGCACCGAATTCTCATTTCCTCTGCTGACCTGCTCCGAAAAGTTATCACCCTATATCCTTTGGCACAGTGGCTGGCAGTCCCAGAATGGGATTCCTTCAAAAGTATCTTGAAAATTGAAGTATGCTTTCATTTTGATTGGTTTGGCATAACCGTGAGTGGTTAATGGGTCCTTGTGTCCTTTCAGGGAATTGTGTGTGTGTGTGTGTGTGTGTGTGTGTGTGTTCACATATATATATATGTATCTTTTGTTGGGTGGGGCAGTATTGTCGATGCTGATTGCTCTGGGAAGAAGTAAAAGGAATCAACATGCAGACAGTCTTCTTGGTAGCTTTTGCTTGTGAGAAATATTTTTCCTGTAAATTAATCAAAATCGATATTCAAATGGACAAATTGAATTGCAAATTGTGCAAGTGACAAGAGTGCAGGCGTGACTCAAGTGATAAAGTGCGGTCTGGCTTTCCTGTCCAATTCTTCAACCTGCCCCAGGTTCTGAAGAGAGCTTCCCGATGCCAGAGTATCTGGAGAGGCTGCTGGTGCCTTTTTGCTCCAGGCAGAGGCCCTGGCTATGCACAAAGTACACCCTGCTGGATTCTAACCTCCTTACGTGGTGTGAATTGAGTTGAGTAGAGAAAATGTCTGCCTTCTCCCCGCTCACCGATGACTGATGACACTGGAGGCTGGAGGTGGGGTGAGACTGTTTAGCACCTTGAAGCCCAGGTCCCTGGCACTGAGTCACGCTTCTATAGCTGTTCTAATCCTTTACCACTCAGTCCCCGGCCCTCTGTTTTCATCGAATGGCACACAAAAAAATAGAAGCCATCAGGACTGAATCTCATCTCTAAACCTACTGGTAAATCTTAACCTGTCATCTCAGAGGAGCTATTTCCAGTGGCATCCCAAGGGCGCAGACATGGGAGGGGTCCACATAATAAGAGGTGCAGATAATAAGTGGGTGTCTGGTCTGCAGAGAATTTTATAACGTTAATAAAAAACAGACTCCAAGTTGGTCTACTTTTTATTAACTCCACGTACCAGCAATGCTAAACATCAGAGATTAAATACTCCTCACTGAAAAGACTCGTTGCTCTAAGGACCGAATTGTACCTGGGGTGCCTATCTTGCCACGAATGCCTGCCCCACCTCACACGGTGGAACCCGAGCCCTCTTCCTCCCGTCCTCCCTCCCGCTCTCACAGAATCTTTCTCTGTTGCGTATCTCCCATCTCCTGTCCTTTTAATCCCCACCTCTTCATTGGCACCTGTCCCTCAGCCTAAAACACATTTAAGTCTCCCTAACCTAAAAGTAAACTCTCAACCCTGCCTCCCCTGCATTCCATTGTTAGGGTTAGAAATGTGATGCGCAAACTTCTAAAAATATTCCGCACTTGATATCTCCTCATCTCTCAACTCCCACTCACTCCTTAACTCTACTGTGGCCTCTACCTCTGTACTCAGACTTTCCTCTGATGTCACCAGTGACCTCCAAGTTGCCAACCCCAAAGGCTTTTTTTCCATCCTTGTTTACAGCAACCTCCCTGTAGAAGCATTGCTGACGGCCCGTGCCTCCCCAGACTCCCCCCAGGGCTCCCTTCTCCAGGGCTGTTGCCTCTCCAGCTGTCCGTCCAGCCTCTTGGACTAGCTCAGAGATGGGGATAACACCCTGGTTTTCTTCTCCCTTTACTCTCCCTGTGTTATTTCTCACCAGGATTTCTACCACCATTCCTCTGTGTTGATGACTTTCAAGTCTATATTTCTCTAACCCAAATCATTTTTAAAAAGCTGTTTGGACTACTTTGTCCTGCAGAAACTTCAGTCTTACTAAGCTCAAAACTTAACTCATTAACTCACCACCTCAACTACTGCTGCTACGTCAGTTCTGCTTTGACACCTGTATTTTCATTATCAGTTTCAGGTAACAATATTGTTACCCATCTGATTGCCTAAAGCAGCAACATCAGAAGCACCCTCCACTCCCCCTGCCTTTCATCTCCTGCAGAGCCATCACCCAGTCTCAGGGTTTCTTCTTCAGAAATGCTGCTTATCTGTTCTCTTCTGTCCGTTCACATGCTTCTACCCTCATCTGGGCCCTCAAGGTCTCTTCCTCGGCCCCTGTCCCGTACTGGGCTCCTCATCTGCACAGCCACCCACCTCCCTCATCATCCACCTCTGACGTTACTTTCCTGAGAAGCAGACCAGGTAGGCTGTTGCTTCAGGGCCTCTGCAAGTAGAGCGGTGATGTCAGACTCCTCACTTGCCAGGAAACGGCCCTCCACAGTCCCACCCCACTGCCCCTCTGGCTCCATCCTCTGCTCTCTCGGAAGCCCCGTTCGCACCACACGGCACTTCTCAACACACCAGAGTGGAATGGGCCCTTTTCCTCGTTAGTTACATAAGCTCACATGCTTTCCTGTTGCTTCCTGCTTTTCCATTGTTAAAAGAGAGAGAAAAAAAGAATTTAACAACATGCTTTGAAGAGTTCAGATGCCTGAAAAGCACAGGCAGAACTGTCCCCGGACGTCATTGCCACAGCTCTGGCTCTGAGGAGAAGGAAAGATGTGGCGCCTGAAGCTTCCAGCAAACAGTAACAATTACCCCGGGTCAGCCGACGCCTGAGCCCCGTATTACTGGCCTGCAGGTGCTGCCCTTTGCTTCATCTCAAGTGAGAGAGCAGGCACCTGCCTCCCTTGGGGCCACCCCAGCTGTGGCAGAGGGGATCGGTGACCCTGGAGGCTCTGCCCTCCTGCGTGGCGTCCCACCTGCCCCACGGGCTCGGGGCTGGCGTGCTGCAGACCGACCTGCTGGGGTTACACAGCTTGCTCTGCACACAGGAGCCGGGCTGCACATGTGAAGAGAGGGGTAAGGAGCAACCAGGAGGAAGATCAGCTCCACAGTAAAAGGCACCATGTTGATTTGAATGTCCACCCAATTTTTGAAGGGGAAAAAAATGGGTTTTTAGTGTCCCTTCCTCATTAAAAAGGGAGAAGATAAAAATGTCACCAACTATCAATAATAAAAATATAGACTCTTAAGACGTATTTATCTAGAATGTGCCTGTGCTTGAGTCTCTTTGCATTGAAGGGAGGGATTTCCTCAGCAATGTGGCACAAAAGAAGTGTAAATTCATCCCATTCTCTACCTTTTATGCCCAAAGCAAGGCAGGCGTCAGGACCTTTACTTCATGAAGCTCGCCATTTGCTTGGGCTTATTTTTATATTGATTATGTTTGTCGATGTGTGTGTGGTTTTGTGTTCTTGTTTTAGCGCTCTCAGGAACAAATTTTATCAGCAGTAAATCCATCAAAAATTAAGTCTTTTAAATTAAAGTCTCTAGGAAAAGCACAAATTTCACAACCGTAGTTTTTTTCTAGGGGTTTGTTTAACTTGCAGATCTTACCATTCTTTCTTTAAGTCTACAATGTCCCACCCAGCATTTTTAAGGGACCTTGAAAACTGTTTCGTTAATTGGAACAATTCCAATTAATTAAATACGTCCAATGGTTTTAAACTACAGTTACAGATTTTTATTATTTTTTCTTCCAGTTTTATTGAGATATAATTGACATAAAGCACTGTATACATTTAAAGTTTAAAGCATAATGATTTGATTTACATACATCATGAAGTGAATATCTGTCATCTCATATAGATACAAACTAAAAAATGGAAAAAGCTCTTCTTGTGATGACTCTTATTCTTAGAATTTTCTCTTGGAATTTACTCTCTTAGCAATTTCCATATATAACACAGAGCAGTGTTAATTATATTGATCATGTTGTGCAGTACATCCCTTGTACTTATTTATCTTGTAACTGGCAGTTTGTACCTTTTGATCACCTTTCTCCAAGTCTCCCTCTCCCCACCCCCTGCCTCCGGTAACCACAAATCTGATCTCTTTTACTATGAGCTTGTTTTTTGAAGTATAATTGACCCACAACATTCTGTTAGTTCTGTTACATAATGATTTGATATTTCTATACATTTCAAACTGATCGCCATATTAAATCTAATTATGATATGTCACCATACAAAGATACTACCTAGTTACTGACTATATTCCCCACACTGTACATTTCATACCCATGCCTCACTTATTTTGCAGATTTGTACCTGTTAATCTCCCTCACCCATTTCTTTCCTCCCTGTACCGTCCTCCCCTCTGGAAACACTTATTTGTTCTCTGTACCTATAACTCTGTTGTTTGCTTTGTTTTTTTAAATTCCGCATGTAAGTGGAATCAGACAGTGCTTGTCTTTCTCTGCCTGACTTATTTCACTTAACGTGATACCCTCTAGGTCTCATCTGTGTCATTGCAAATGGAAAGATTTCATTCTTTTTTATGGCTAAGTAATATTTCATTGTGTGTATGTGTGCATACCACATGTCCTTTATTCATTCATCTGTTGATAGACACTTAGTTGTGCATATCTTGGCTATTGTAAATAACACTGCAGTGAACACAGGGCTGCATATCTTTTCTAATTAGTGTTTTTGATCTCTTCAGATAAATAGCCAGAAGTGGAATTGCTGGATCATATGATAGTTCGATTTTTAATTTTTTGAGGAACCTCCATACTGTTTTCCATTTCCACCAGCAGGGCAGGAGGGTTCCCTTTTCTCCACATCCTCGCCAGCGCTTGTTATTTTTTGTCTTTTTGATAATAGCCATTCTGACAGGTGTAAGATGTTGTCTCGTTGTGGTTTTGATTTGCATTTTCCTGATGATTAGTGACGTTGAACATCTTTTCATGTGCCTGTTGGCCATCTGTATGTTTTCCTTGGGAAAATGTCTATTCAGCTCCTCTGTGTGTTTTTAAACAGGTTGTTTATTTTTCTTATGTTGAGTTGAATGAGTTCTTTGGATATTTGGGACCCGGGTAGGGACTGAAAGTACTTGACAGGGCAGCAGCAATCTTACTACATTTTATATAATAGGTACCATTGTGCAGGTTGCATTTAAATCTTACACTGTAGTGAAGGGATGATTTTTGTGATGCAGTAAAAATTGGATTACCTAGCTCTGTTCTTAACTGGTATCTAAAATAAATGTTTCATGTTATTTCCACATTGAGGGAGAAAACTTTATCATTATCAGATGTATCATTTGCAAATATCTCCTCCACTTAGTAGGTGGCCTTTTCATTTTGCTGATAGTTCTTTCACTGTGCAAAAAAGCATTTTCGTTTGATATGGTCCCATTTGTTTATTTTTGCTTTTGTTTCCCTTGCCCACAGAGACATATCCAAAAAAATGTTACGAAGATTGATGTCAGAGTTTGTTGCCTAAGTTTTCTTCTAGAAGTTTTATGGTTTCAGGACTTATATTTAAGTCCTTAATCAATTTTGAATTTATTTTTGTGCACGATGTGAGAGCATAGTCCAATATGATTCTTTTGCATGCAGCTGTCAGTTTCCCCAACACCATTTATAAAAAGAGGCTTTTTCCCACTGTATATTCTTGCCTCCTTTGTCATAGACTAACTGCCCATATAATTGTGGCTCCGTTTCTAGGCTGTCTATTCTGTTCCATTGATCTGTATGTCTGGTTTTGCATCAACACCATACTGTTTTGATTACTGTAGCTTTGTAGTATAGTTTGAAATAAAGAAGCATGATTCCTCCAGCTTTATTTTTCCTCAAGATTGTTTAGGCTGTTCAGGGTCTTTTGTGTATCCATAGAAATGTTAGAATTATTTGTTCTTGTTCTGTGAAAAATGCCATTTTTTTTGATAGGGATTGCATTGATATGTAGGTTTCCCTAGGTAATATGGTCATTTTAACAATATTCTTCCAATCCATAAATGTGGTATATATTTCCATCTCTGTGTTGTCTTCAGTTTTTTTCATCAGTGTCTTTGAAGTTTTCTGAGTACAGGTCTTTCACTTCTGTTTATTCCTAGATATTTTTTTTATGTGATTGTAAATGAGATTGTTATCTTAATTTCCCTTTCTGATAGTTCAGAGGTAATATAAGAAATACAACAGATTTCTATATATTAATTTTGTACCCTGCATCTTTACTGAATTCACTGATGAACTCTAATAGTTTTTTGGTGGCATCTTTAGGATTTTCTATATGTATCATGTCATCTGCAGACAGTGACAATTTTACTTCTTCCTTTCAGATTTGGATTCCTTCCATTTCTTTTTGTTGTCTGATTGCTATGACTAGGACTTCCAATACTATGTTCAATAAAAGTGGCAAAAGTGGGCATCCTTGTCTTGTTACTGATCTTAAAGTGAAAGCTGAAAGCTTTTCACTGTTGAGTAGATGTTAGCTGTGGGCTTATCATATATGGCATTTATTATGCTGAGGTATAGTTCCTCTGTACCCACTCTGTGGGAAGTTTTTATCATAAATGGATGTTCAGTTTTTCTCAGATGCTTTTTCTGCATCTATTGAGGTGATGACATGATCTTTATTCTTCAGTTTGTTAATGTCGTATATCAATCACATTGACTGATTTGTGTGAATTTGTTGTTGTTGTTGTTGTTGTTTTGGGGGAGTAATTAGGTTTATTTATTTTACTTAAATGGAAGTACGGGGGATTGAACCCAGGGATGCTGGACATGCGTTCTACCACTGAGCTGTGTCCTCCCACTCCTAATTTGTGGATATTGAACTATACTTGCATCCCTTAGATAAATTCCACTTGATCACGGTGTACAAATCTTTTAATGTATTATTGAATTTGGTTTGCTGATATTTTGTTGAGGACTTTTGCATATATGTTCATCATGACTTTTGCATATATGTTCATCATGTGTTCAGTGCTATTGGCCTTTAATTTCCTTTTTTGTGATATTATTTGTATGATTTTGGTATCAGGGTGATTCTGGCCTCATGGAATGAGTTAGAAAGCATTTCTTTCTGTGCAGTCTTTCAGGATAGTTTGAGAAGGATAGGTGTTCACACTTTTCTAAATGTTTGGTAGAATTCACTTGTGAAATCATCTGATCCTGGACTTTTGTTTCTTGGGAGTTTTCTTAATTACTGATTCAGTTTCATTATTGGTAATTAGTCTGTTCATATTTTCTATTTCTTCCTAGTTCAATCTTGAGCAGTTATACCTTTCTAAGAATTTTTATATCTCTTCTAGGTTGTCCATTTTATTGGCATATAAGTGTTCATAGTAATCTCTTGTTTGTATTTCTGTGGTGTCAGCTGTAAGTCCTCTTTCATTTCTGATTTTATTGATTTGGGCCCACTCTTTTTATCTTTTCTTTCTTTTTTTTTTTTTAATTTTGGGGGAGGTAATCAGGTTTGTTTGTTTGTTTGTTTAAATGGAGGTGCTGGGGATTGAACCCAGGACCTTGTGCATGCTGGGCATGTGCTCTGCTAATGAGCTGTATCCTCCCCCTCTCTTTTCTTTTTATGATTAGTCTGGCTAAAGGTTTATCAATGTTTTTTAAACCAGCTCTTAGTTTCATCTTTTCTTTCTTTCTTTTTTTTTTGTCTCTTTTGTTTATTTCTGCTCTGATCTTTATGATTTTTTCTTCTACTAACTTTGGGTTTTGTTTGTTCTTCTGTTTCTTGTTCCTTTAGGTGTAAGGTTAAGTTGTTTATTTGAGATTTTTCTGGTTTCCTGAGGTAGGCTTGTATTGTTGTGAACTTCCCTCTTAAACTGATTTTGCTGTGTCCCAGAGGTTGTGGAACATTGTGTTTTCATTTTCACTTGTTGTCCAGGTATCTTTTATTTCTTCCTTGATTTCTTTAGTGATCCTTTGGTTGTTTAGTAACATGTTGTTTAGTCTTCACATGTCTGGTTTTTTTGCATTTTTTTTTTCCTTACAGTTGATTTCCAGTCTTATAGCATTTGGGGGCAGAAAAGATGCTGGATATTTCAGTTGTCTTAAATTTATGAGACTCATTTTGTGGCCTAGCCTGTGATCTATCCTGGAAGATGTTCCCTTTGCACTTGCCGTGCTGCTGACTTCCTACTTGTACTGCTGCAGGAGTTGCTGTGGCCCCCTTCTCTAAGCCATTTCAGCATGGGCTGCATAAAGCCACCGTCTTCGCCCTTCCAAGTGATAACAGGCACACAGCTGCACACATCGAGTTGGTTTTATCCTGTGGCCCAAGAGATAAGAAAAAAATTTCATTAAAAAAATTATTTTGGGGGCTGGGGAGGCAGTTCTAGCGGATACTTCCAAAGATGAGACGTTGTTTGGTTTCTGTCACAGAGGCTTCCATTTCCCTTAACCACAGCCCTACATATAAGGATGCCTTGGCAAAGAATTCACCAGGGCTTTGCCTTAAGATCTGCTATTTTGTAAGGTAACGTTTCTGCATGTGTTTGGGACTTTGTGGAGTCTGGTGAAATGAAAAAGCAAGGGCTCTAGGTCTTTCCTCGTCTTCCTTGCCTTTCCCTTCCTGACCATCTGTATAATACCTCTGGGAAGACAGGAAAGGACAGTTGTCAATACTGGGAATTCCTCAACAGAGCAGTCAGTTTTTCTGGTGTGCCTGAGCTCAATACTTTATACCAATGTTTTCATCACTTTTACAGCATTTTGGTATCAAGTGACACAAGGAAGAGGTTACTTTGTTTTTATTCCTAAATACAAGAGTAGTGTAGCTCATATTTGAGCATTTTGAAAATATAGAAAAGAATATAACTACAGTACTAATCACGCATATCCAACTACCTAGTTGCGTATATTTCCTTAGTCTTTTTCCAAGTTTTTTTAAACATAATAGAGATCAAAGTATGTATAAAGTTCTGTATCCTATAGCTGTCACTTAGCTTTAAATCATAGGAATCTTCGCTAGTCAGTAAAAAAAAAAAAAACCTTTGTCAACATCATTTTTTTGTGGCTATCTACTATTTTAAGATATAATACAGTGTAACTTACAGGTGCGTGGTCCCACTTTGGGCATTTGGTTTGTCTGCAGTTATCTTACTTATAATTCTCTCTGAGACACCTAGTTGTGCCTAAACCGCTGTAATGGCTCTTGTGGTTGTTTTACACCTTATCACAGCACGCACGTAGTATGTGTGCGGGGCAGAGGATCGTCAGAGGGTGGTTTTCTTCTCTTCCCCCCACCCCCACCCCAGCTCCTTACGTTCTGCGTAGAGAATATACATTCTGTATTCCCGGGACTATAGAAGGACAAACCAGCCTGTGTATCTGAATCCTCTTCATGGATAGAACCCACCAAAATGTGAGTCCTTGGCTTCAGTTTTGGACTGTGGTTTTGAACTCGCACCTTGTAGGTATTGGATAACGGAATTCTGGATCATGTTTAAAATGGATGCCAGCTTGGCAAACACTATGGAGGAGTTCCAGGAACTGGTGAAAGCCAATGGCGAGGAGCTGCACTGCCGCCTGATCGACACAACTCAAATGTGAGTGTCAAGGTTCTGACTCCCCTTTCGAAACCCCCTCCCTCCTATAGAACAATCCAGGCCGCTCAGCGAGGCCCGCTTCCCGGTGTGGCCGCTGCTCTCCCTCCTCGAGAAGCCCCCAGACAGGCAGGTTCCAATCGCCTCCCCAGAGAGAAGAGCCTGACATTTACCAGCAGAGCAGAGCAAAGCCCCTGGTGGTAACTCTGTGGGGGACTAATATCCAAGAGCAGAAATTAATAATAAGCCCCAGTGAAAAGGAAATCAGGTAGCAAAATACTGACTAAAATGTATCCAGGTCATAAGAAACTGAAAGTGCAGTGAGTAAATTCATGCTGCTTCAGCAGCTGATGCCTGGAGGCATCCTGAACTCACACATGGAGAAGGGACTGCTGGACAGTGGGTCGAGCAGGGGGGTTATAAAATACACGGACATCTGTGGGAGACACCTTGACTTAGAGAGATGAAAAGGATCTTAAGAATATTTCAGGTTATTCCTTGGATTTCTTATTTATGAGACTGTCCCACTCTGGAAAAATGGACGCCTGTCCTCATTTGGGAGAGGAGAGCATACTCACCACGTGCTAAGGTCTTCACAAGGTAGCTGCTTTATTTCGGAATAATACACATCCCTAGGATATAGAGTTCTAGCACTGAAACACATTTGAAAGATCATTTCATCCAGCATCCTGGGAAACTGAGGCTTAGCACAGCTGGCTCGACTAGGGTCACACAGCTGGTTAAGTGAATGCCAGAGCAGAAGCTGGACTCTGAGAGCCCACAGCGCCCTGTGCCATGCTGTGCAGAAACGATTTCCAAATCACATTTCAGAATGCCAAATAAACCTATCAGTTTGGACTCTCTGTACTACTTTGCTTAGAATTATAATAACTTGAAAGATAAAAGAACTTCTTGAACTAACAGTGTCTTCATTTT